CTGGTCACCACGCCTGAGGAGCTGCGGAAGTGTAGGGTTCGGTGGATTGATGGCTCAGTTCAAGGTCCTTGCAATGCTCTGACAGGAGCGGAAGGCCTTCTACGAAAAATGGAGGCACGACATCGTCACTGTTTTCTGTAATTGCCGTATGCAGTATGCAAATGCATTACTATTTGCTTTGCTGTGACATGTAGTATGCGATTCAACAGTTTTAAGAAGACAATGACCTAGTACATGCCAAACGGCAACAGATTGATACATATATGCATGCATCATCTATGTGCTCCATGATGTCCGCATTTGCACATGTACCGTTTGCAATCATTAGCATTCTGTATGAAGCTGCGCATGCATGCATGCATGCATGCATGGTAGGATGTATGTATGCGTGTAAGCATGTCTGCGTGTATGTATGCAGGCATGCATGCATGCATGCATGTATGTGTGTTTATATACAAAAGCACATGATCATTACATGCAACCGGCACATATGCTCATGCCAGAAAGGGTGAAAGCAAATGGAGAGTCCTGGCACGAACCATGATAAATCAATGAAGTTTGAAAGCAACACTACATGAGTAGATGCATATGTTTAACTTGTTTATTTGTTCAACTTGTTTCGTATTCCCAAATGTCTTGGTCTATGTTCTTGTGTTTAGTGTCTGCTCTATCGATGTGCTCCGTTGTACACACCTGCTGGCTTGGCCTGTATGTTGTTGCATGCGCGGGTATCTGCAGAGTGCAGGCTTGATCAGAAGTGCCGGCAACTGGTGGAGGCTCACCAGATTCGAGTTCGAGCTAGATGGATTTAGGCTGCAAGGGTCTAGGAGTCTAAGGCTGAGGAGTTAGGGTGTAGGGTGCAGGAGTGTTTTAGGCTTAGCGTTTGGGGCTAGGGGTTTCAGATCTACAGGTCCAGGAGACGTCTCATGATGTGAGGTCAAATTTCCCGGAATTGCTTAATATGAAGCTCCTGTTGGCGGCAGCATCTTCTGCATGTCTATCTGGGTATCCTCTCTCTCTCTCTCTCTCTGTGTCTCTGGCTCTCCGTGTCTGACCAACTCAAGCTCGTTGCATTTGCATCCATCAGTGCTGCTCACATACCTGCTTTTGGAAATGGCGATGCTGATGTCAACTGTCGAAAGTCGGTACAGTGTTAATCTCCAGGGGCCTACTACACCAGAATCTTAATAGTAATGATACTAGAAGTAATAGCAGCAGTCATAGTCATAATAGTGTAACGGCAATAACGTAATAACAAGGAGCCCCCTTAAAGTGCGTTTAGGGTTTAGGGTTTAGGGTTTCCAGTGTCAGGAGCAAGCTCCCTCAGTTCAGCGGGAGCTGATCTCCAACTTCAACCCGCCACCCGGGACAAAGAACGTGGCCTCGGCACCATTAGGGTTTAGGGGTTTAGGGTTTAGGCCAGAGGGTCTCCAGTCTCAACAGGGTGCCTCAGGCCATTTTAGTCCAGGGCTGTAGGACTTTCTGGTTTCGAGAAAGGTTTAGGGGAGACCCGTCCTAAGTGGGAGAAGCGCCCTGTAGATTCGATGTTTCTGTATACATGCAGTTGGCAACATGTGCAAGTGCGGCAGCATGGCGATAATCATAGTTGCCGCCATATTCAGTTCTGTTGCAGTTTGCAGTTACGAGTACTTCGGTTACAGCTGTAATGAGTGCTGGCATTGCTACTTTTACTAGTTCTTCTCTACGCGAAGCATATTTAGCTATCAGTACTACTACAACTACTGCTGCTATCAGCAGCAATGGTGCTATCGTTCCCAGTGTTGCACTCATTCCGACTATCGCGAAGTCTATGGTTGCACATGGCGGCCGCGATTCGGCATTCGTGTACCTGACTTCAGTTGTTGCCACCATGTTTGAGCTAGTCTCAATTGCTGTGATTTCCAGTACATCGCTAACATGTTGAGCATGTCGCCGCTGATGCTATCTTGGCCTTCACTGGCCACCCTGAGATTGCTTGAGTTTCATCGTGTCTTGGCCTTTTGGATAGCAGGTGGCAGGGCGGATGACGGCCTTCCTCAACATGATCCTGAACAAGACGAGGCGAGAAAAGGGCCTATACTAGAGAACGTAGACATTCATCGGCTCTACGTCATAAGCTGGAAGGCAAAGACTAGGCGTAGGCAGAGACCCCCTTGAATCTGGAGCATATAGCCTGCAACGGCAAAACTTTAAAGTTTGCCACCTTATGAAGCCCTAAACATCTAAACCCCTGAACCCTAAACCCCAAACCGTTATCATCGTAGCCATCTATCAAAACTCCGAAGGCTCTCACATCCCCCGTCCGACTGCTTTGAATTTTGGATGAAATCCGCCTAAACCACGATTTAAGCGACATTTTAGCTAGAAAAGCACAAAGTCTTTCCGCCGCAGTGCAATAGTTGCTTTGGACTTTGCAATTTGACCGCTGACATGCAGCCGCACTGCGACAAAACCTGCTGAAGCAGCAGGAGCGCATCCATGTGTCCGGGTGCTTTCCCGTTGTTGGCGCGAAATACGGTTGATGATATAAATCCTGCATTGCCCAATATAAGGAATATACCTTAAGTCCCGGAATCTAGGGCCGTTCAGGTAATGCAGGATTTATATCATCAACCGTAGAGAAGCCAAGACTCTCCAAAAGCCTGGAGCCCTAAAGCCCTGCTACCCCCAAATCCCAGGCCCTAAACTCAAAAGGGTTTAGGGTTTAGGGTCCGGCGCAGCGACTGCAAACAACAAGAGTCTTCAAACTCAGACTGGCTCCATCAAAATCCAGAAATTGCACATGACAGCAAAATGGGGTGGCAGAGCAGCAAACCTTTCGAAACGGAAAGGCGCAAGAGCGAGCTTGCGAGAGGCGGCGGAAACATATCAGAACGAGAAGCAGGCCGCTCTAGCGGGACCAAAGCATTTGAGAGAGAGAGAGAGAGAATAGGAACAACAATGATATACATGAGTTCTTTGGAGATCCAGGCGTAGGAAATTGACCACAGCAGTTTCAACAAAAAGGAACAAACTGCTCGTATTTGATGGGGGCATTCAAGAACGAGGCGCAAACCGGTCCGAATGGGTCAGGAATTTGAGCAAGAGCAGCATTCGAGTAGGAGCAGCAGCCGGCTCGAAAGGTGCTCAAGCAGAAGCATTTGAAGAGCAGCATCTCGGCTCGACAAGACCGACTGCGGTTAAGACAAACGAGCAAGCCGTTCAAAAGGGCAGGGAGCCAGAACCCGAACCCACCGTGCAGGACCCTGAAGCTCTCCCTGTTGGGGACCTTCTCCACCAACACCCTTATCAAACCGAACCCTAAAAACCCTAAACCTTAAACCCTCAACCCTAAACCCGAACCCTAAACCCTAAAAAGCCTCAGAGCCCCACTCCCCTACGCATTAAACCCGGAGCCGCTTGCAGATTCCGTGGCTCTGGTGGGCCGCACCCCCAGGCTCCTCCCTCCTTGCTGGGAGCACCTTCACAAGAGCTACAATGCTGCAAGAGCAGCAGATGAATAGGAACAGAATAGGCATGAAGATAAACAGCGCTACTTAAACGAATACTAAGAATTTAAGACAATTCAAATGGCAGAAAAGCAATACATCATTGCAACACTACATACCAATTGACTCTACTCTTATTGTTATTGCTGTTGGTAATGTTAATGTTGATAATGTATAGGTCTTGTTTTTGCTCTTGTTGTTGGTATGTTCCTGGCTGTCGCTGTGGTTGCGGTTGCGATTACGGTTGCGGTTGGGCTTGGGGTTGTTATTTTTCTTGGTTGCTGTAGCTGCTGAGCTATTGCTCTTGCTGTTGTGGCTGCTGCTGTCGCTGCCCCCTGCTGTTGCTGCTGCTGCTGCGGATGCGGATGAGACTGCGGATCCTGGCTGTGGTGGTGGTGGTGGTGGTGGTGGTGGTGGTGGTGGTGGTGTCTTCTCTTATCTCCAGAAGCCCTTGGGGTTGTTTAGGATCCGGAACAGCGCAGGGGTAGTAAAGAAGCACAGGCCAGCGAAAATGTGAAGAGAATCGGAAAGTTGTGACTTACTTGGTGTCAGCCTCTGTCGTCTCTGCGATCAAGCTATATACCACCATGACTATGAACATCCTCAGAGCCCTTCAGAGATTGAACAGCCGAAGAGTGATTCCCCTCTAAGGGCGAACTCTCCGTCCAAGCACCAGGCTGGCAAAGGCTCGGCTCGATACCCCCCCAAGCCCTATTCCAATCATAATTATTAAAGCCCCGATATTAGGGGTTACGGGGCACGGATCAAGATCATGGCCGCCATCATCATCGCCGCCACGTGTTCGCACATTCATTTGACGTGCTGGTATGATTCTTCGGTTGCTACGCCAATCCAACATGCAGCGAAGGGACCTTCATTGACCAAAAAACCAGCAAAGAGCCAGATGCATTGGGTGTATTGCAGTGGTTCTGTGAGTCCTCAAGCAACACTCAGAGACCTTTCGCTCTTCATGATCCCGATTGATAACTTCCTGAGCCCCCGACAAACCAGCAGACACAGCCCAAACCTCACCCTCGCTTGACTTTCGCAGGTGGCCGAAACGTGGCTCAGGAGTCTTTGGGAGATCAGGAGACATGAGAGCAGCGGCATACAGCGGCTGTGGGTTTACGCCATCTTTCAACATTCTTCGACATGCATGATGCTGCTTCATTGAATGCGACCATTTTTGATGTCGGAAAACTCAATACTATTCAACGCCTTGCTAACACTCACTGTGCACACAGGAGCATGCAGACAAGGTCAGTGAGTTTGTCTCACGCGTGGCCCTCGGCGGGCGTCCTGTCATCTGGGGGCGATTGACAGTTAGTTGCAGCAGCCAGCCTTGCTGTCGTCCACCTTGACGTGTTGCTGTAGTATCTCAACGTGCATCTGTCCAATGGCCATCTGTCCAAGTCACGACATTTACCAGCCACTTGTCAAGGGAGCGACTGCATTTGCGCCTTTCGTTTCTATCAAGGTGAAACCTAGCCGCCTAGCCCTAGCCCGGCCCCCTTAGGCAACAGCAAGATGGATCGCATCAGCCATGTCCGGCATTTGCTGCCTTTCCTTGA